CTGAACCAGGTGACCTGTTTACTGAGAATGTGAAGATTCATTAGTGTAGATATCTTGAACACAAGCAATTGCAGAGGCATGGGCAAACAGAGCTGTTGTGTGAACTGTCTACAAATAAATTCACCCAGTGCCATTCCTAGAGCATGCATTTGAGTAATTTTCTAAAAATGTAACATTACTTCATTTTATTGGATAATTACATAGGTCTAACTTCTGACTTCCAGGTTGTTGTGGGAGATAAAGTTGTACTGATGCCAGTCAATGCAGGGCAGCCTCTACATGCCAGCAACATTGAGCTTCTGGATAACCCTGGCTGCAAAGAGGTGAGTTCAGTGAAGGGAGGAGCGGTAATTGCTAATCTAACATATTATATGTTGCTCTTTACTGGTAACAAGAACCCCACCGTAGGCTAGATGCCAGTATATTAAACACTGGTTCCACCTTGACCTCAGAAACCCAAGATGAAATATACTTATTCTTGGCACAATTCTGCCTGGCACTGAAAACTTTGTGAGGTTTACTTGAGTATCTGAAACTCTCGCTGATGTCAGAGCTCTTTAAGTCGCCTTTGGTGGGCTGTAAACAGACAGAGTAGAGTTTTGCCCACTGAATCTTCTCCAACATCAACATTATTAACACTTGAGAGCTTCAAGACCATGTTAGGAACTGTACAGATACGTAGCTAAACCATGTCCCCTGCCACCCTAGATGTGATGTTGTCTTTTAGAAGAATAGTTGTCTCAGAAAGAAAAGAACAACCTTTAATACTATAATTGTGGCTTTTTTCCCAAAGGTAAATGCTGTCAACTGTAACACAAGCTGGAAAATAACTTTATTCATGAAATTCAGTAGTTACCGAGATGACGTACTGAAAGGAGTAAGTATGCTTTTTTAAAAAATTATTTTTTTACTTTGAAAAATCATGCCATATTTGACTGTAGAGAAGTTATATGTTGAATAAAAGAAGACATGAGCTGTTTATGGAGCTGTTGAGGATCCCTCACTACTGTCCTTCCATAGCCAGCGTGTTTTCCCTTTGTGTTATTGTCTTACTAAGTGAAATTGTCTGGATTATGCTAGCTTCCAGCCCCTTTCTGCTCCCAATGACAAATAAGGATCCATAAGAAAAGGTGAAGTTTAAGCTCAGGATGGTGAGGGGCTCCGTACAGAATAGCTGTGATGTTTCAGTTTATGCTGAAATGCTAAAACAGGTATGACAAGCTTACAGAAAGGAGCGAGGCATGAAAGATGACAGTATCTGTAATAAGACAGCGTAGCTTTAAACGCTCATGGTTTGCACAGCTTCCAGCCTCTAGATCACACTCTGAGATCACTTACATTTTCATTTTAGATAAATAAATTTTATTTATCCTCACTGATACCTTAATAAGTCAGTATCAGCTGGTTATTTTTTGGGAGGTATCAAGGTATCAGCAGTTTTTGAGGAAGAATTTGAAAGGGAAAATGGTATACCTGTTGAGACCAATTTGAGAATAGTCTTTCAAGCCTTGAGGAGAGGCAGGAGGAAGCAAAAGTGATGCCAGCAGAAGAAACAGAGAAAGAACATTGATTTTGGCTTCAGAGTAGAAGACGTGAGACAATATTAGACAAGTCTGTTCACTTTCCCTGATACTAAAAGAGATCAGAAGTAAAAATATTCTATTTAGTAAAGTTAGCTATAATTCAAAATCACCTTTAGGTTAATTGCTGCCCACAGTTCATTGCAGTGCTCTGAAACAAGCTCTGTTTTCACCAAAGTGCACAAATCTTCTGCAGGACTGAATTATCTCATTTGATTTCCAGACTCAGTGCTGAGATTTTATGCTCTGCACTTGGTAACTGCTCCAGCAACAGGAAACTTATAAATGTTATCTTCACATCAGCTGTGTTGACACTACTGGAGCAAGTACAGATATAGAAGATGAGTCTAACAGGTTTGCCTACCACTTAATAACACTTCTTCTTCATATTACTTTAGGGAGATGTTGTTAGGCTGTTTCATGCAGAGCAAGAGAAGTTTCTGACCTGTGATGAATATGAGAAAAAACAACATATTTTCCTTCGTACTACATTGCGTCAGTCAGCCACTTCTGCAACAAGTTCTAAGGCACTGTGGGAAATAGAGGTATGTTTTTCTTTTTATAAATATTTTAGGACCTGCAGGCCAGGGTTCAGTAAAAATACTTTACCAAAACATGAATCATTCATAGCCTCTTGATAGCATCATACAACTCCCCATAACTATTACTGTTTTATGAAGCGGTTTGTGTAGGATGAACAGTGAAGAGAAGCTTTATTGCATGTGTGGAGAGAGGAAGTTTTCTTACTGTATTTAGCTGCACTAAAATGATGAAGGGTCAAATTCAGACTTGACGTAAATGGTGCGGTTTTATCAAAGCCAATCAAATGACACTCATGTATCATGAGTTCTCAGTGCTTGTATTTGACTTCATGTGCAATATAGAAAAACTGAAATTTGTGACTGACAAGAAATCTCACAAATGTGATCACGTCCACTCTTCTGCAACAGGGCGCATTGACATCTATTTAAAGTTAGGCTGAATAAAGGTATTGTTGAATGGAGGTGATTTTTGAGAAGATGACTAGCAAATATATTTTTGTTTAACTGAGGAACATTGGAAACTGATATGTCTCAAACCTTTGTTATTACAGTAATGCAACTCCTCTACCCAAAAGTTTTTATGTGCTGAATAAACTGTGCATTTAAATCAGAGCCCCTAACTCAGGCAAATGGTTTATTTTTGTCTGAGTAAGGACTGTATGGAATAGCGTATACTGCACTTGTAGTTATTTGAGATTGCTCTTTAAGAGGGACAGGTACTTCTAGGTTTGAAGGTAGCAAATGACCTACAGCTCAGTCAAGGAGAAAAAGAAATAACCTGGGATATTTCAAATGATATGAGGATATTTAATCACTTGAATAAAAATTTATTAGAAGCCTCTAGTGTTGTCAAAAATAGAGATGGTATTAAGTGGTGAAACAGTGTAAAAGGGTTTGAGTTTTGTTTTTAAATGGTGCCTGTATAAGTGTAGAGCAGCTACACTTACTTTCTTGAGCTCCAGATTCCCACCGTGTAACTTAAAGCAAGATTAGGAGCATCATGTTTGCAGGGAGTAGATTTATGCAAACATAGAAAGTAATAGAAGGAGTATTTCCTGGCACCTGGCAAAAAAATAAATATAAGTAGTTGTTATCTGTGTTAGGTTTAGTGTGAGCACAGAATTTCTCTCTGTAGTAGACTGTAATTGTGTAGTTTATATATTTTTATTTGGAATGAACTGTAAGAAATGTCTGTGATCTAAGTATGATCTTGAGGAGCATGATTAAAACCTGTACTTCTTTTAGGTTGTCCATCATGACCCTTGCCGAGGAGGGGCAGGACAGTGGAACAGCTTGTTTAGATTTAAGCATTTGGCAACTGGGAACTACTTAGCTGCAGAGGTAAGAATGTCAATGAAACAAGTGGTTGTGTGCTGCCTAACCAAGTACTATACGTGACCTGCTAATTCAGAACTGCCATAGTAGGTAGGTCCAAAATATAAATCTCTGAAAAGATCTCATACCAGGTCTGAATGGGGAGAACTGGATGTGCAGTGTTGTGTCATGCTATATTGCTGTAGCCAAGGGTTGCAAGAAAATTTGTTTGATCTACAGGACACTAATAGGTGAGTTCAAGATGGCATCTAACCTTAGTTTCAACTATGCTGTTGGATCTTGAATCTGCTGTTGTCGTGGCAGCCAGGGCAAACACCACTGTTATGTATTTGCCATATTTACACTGAAAATCCTTGGATTCATTTACCTCTCGGCTCTTGTTTGCCCTTGATTTTTGGAGTAGTGTTGTGATCTGTCAAATATTCTTTGCTGGCTCAGGCATTCATACACAGAGTAAAGCTTTTGGAGTAGAACTGAATGCGAGGTAATCATCCAGCTTGATCAGAGAAGCCTGTGTGCAGGCACTAGAACGGATACTCTAAACTACTCTAATCCAGGAATTGTAATTCCTTTTTTTTCCCTGAGGGCTCTAGACTTCTTGAAAAAATGTTTCTATGATGCTGATTTCAGCGTATTGATCACTGCCAGCCAGCACATGGTCCAAGGCATGTCTGTGTTGTAGAAAACTGAGGAAGAGCAAACTTGTATATTGGTGTCAAGCTAGTGCCTCGTGTTTATAAGCAAGTTGCAGTGTTCTGCTGTTGCACTCTTGTCTTTTGACTAAAATTTGAATAAAGAAAGATCTGAGGAAGTCTTTGCCCCATATGGTGGAACAGAAGGTCCAAGAGGAGAAGGAAGATCTTGCAACTTGTCTAGTTAATATGTGGTACTTTATGTTAAAGCAAAATAGTGTTGCTTAGAAGTGTGTAAGAATTTACAAGAAAAGCCAATTTTATATCACTATACATTAGGGAATCCTTGAAAAAAGACTTGCTCTAACTGGACCGAATTTACATTTGCAGCAGTGCAACTTCTATATGCAGACAACTTCTTAGGGTGTTTCACTTTCCAGCTCCTGTCACAGTCTGTGTTGATTTCAGAGTAAGAGCAAACAGGAGCTACCAAACCTTTACTTATTTCTAATTATGCTAAAACCAGTGTCGAAACATAAACAGTGGACCACCAGGACAGATACTGATATTATTTTCCATCTAAGGCTGAGTGTAATTTGAATGTTTTCATTGGTTTTAGCAGTAGCTCACAGTGCAAGTTAGAAACTTGATGGGCCTTAGTGGTGAAGAGCATCATCCCTTTAAAGGCAGTGGACCAACATACCTTAACTGCTCTGCTCTACGCTGCTGCCTCCATACTGCAACAATACTTTGGATTGACTGAAGCCAGCTGGTTTTATTGTGTAGTTAATATTGGCTAATTTTCAAGAGGCAACCAGTACTCTCACCTAAGAGATGATTCCGTTTTCCTCTCTGCTTACAGTGAAAAGTGCTCCTAAAAGAAAGATTGTATTCAGACTAGCTAGGTTGATGGAGAGTCAGGAAAGGCATCGAGCACACTGACTGATGGACTTTCTTCTCCCACCTTACCTCATCTGCTCAGGGATTTTCAGGAGAAAAATCTTCAGGTGGCGAGATGTCACACTACAATGAATGTCAAACCTGAGCTTAGGTCCTTTCTTCCTCTGGAAAGGAAATCTCCATCAGGAAGACTCGTAATATGGAGAGTACAATTGGCACAGTAGGAGTGAGAGCTGAAAGAGCACTTGGGTTGAACAGAGGTGATACGCTGTGACTGGAGAGCAGCATTAGGTCCTGTATCTGTGAAGTGTGAAATACCTGCTGGTGAAGATATTAAAGGTACTGCTGTAATAAAAACCTGTGAACTGTATTTTACACAGTTCACATGTCAGGCGCAGCACACCAGCCAGACATACACGTCAAAGATTTATAAACAGGCAGGCAGACACCTAATGTGCGTGAGCTAACTTTAAATCATTTGGGCAAAGCTAGCCACACACTTATCTGTGCTCTTGCAGCACAGGCAGATTACTCATGGTATGGATTATCACCAGTGTCACACATTGCCATGACCTGATTTTAAGCTTCCATGATAAAGATATCTAGAGTGGAATAATAAGTATAAACACATAAACAAAATTCACAAATCTTTAAGCACTCTGTTGTTGGCTGATGATACAATTTCTGTCACAGCTTGAGCTATTGTAAATCAGGATTAATCACTGTTTATAACCATCTTTTCCTTATTTCATCCTTCTGTAAATCAGCTTGATGTGTACCACAGAGACTTCTGCAGTGAATCTTGCATGGGTTAAGTCTCAGACAATGAATGGAAATGTCCTTAGCCAGAGTGTCTATTGTTGCTCCTCCGCATTTAGGCTCGTACCTTGTGTGAGCAGTGCTGTGCCTTCTCTTTCTCTCTGAGGCTTCCTGTGCCTTATGTAACTGGTTACTAATTTGTGTCTGAGTGGGTCTGAGCCATGCAGTGAAAGGATGCCACCGCAGCTTGTTAAGGCCAGGGTATGGTTTGGGAACTAAGAAAATTCAAGACATTTGCCTCAGCGAATTCAGGAACTTAAAACTAATAAACTTAAAGATGTTTCAATGCTACAGTAAGTAATTAAAAAAAACAAACAGTGAGGCAATACAGTTGTTTAGTAAACAACATATGAGTGTGTATTTGTAAGTCTAATTCTTACAAACTTGAGAGAATGAAGTCAGGATGTGTAAGTCCCAAATTCCATGTTCCTAAGAATCACAATCGGTCATCCAGCTTTTGTTACTTTTCAAAGACTAAGGGTCCTCTGATACCTCTGACTTCTGACACAGTCTCAAGTAGTACCATTTCTCTTAATCCTTTTTCCACTTGGCATTACTTAGGCTAATTTTCATTAATATGCTTTGAAGTTCCTTAAGACCTACTAATACCATAAAACAACCTAGACCTTACTACCAGACTATGGGCTGAAGGTGAGCCCCCCTGAAAGACCCACTGCTAAAGGAGACCCAGTGGAAGACATGTGCTAATTGCACATAGCTGCACTGTCATTCCCCTACTACTGTGCACATCCTCGGACACGGTCTGACACATCAGATGCATGTATGCTCTCACACAGTTACCTGAGGCACAGGAAAGATATGCTGAAGAAAAGGTTTCATGTTTGGTGGTAAGACCTGGGACATCGGAAATCTGGCTGGGTGGTAATGTCTCCTACATGTCCAGCATTTGGAAACCTGAAGCCACCGGCTCAGACATTCCCAAAACATGGAAATCATAAAAAAGTGGAACCAAACACTGAACTGGAAAAATTGGAAAGAAAAATTATCTTCTTTGGAGACAGTGGGAGTTCTGCTGTTAGTGTCAGAAAGGCTTGATTTCATCCAAAAGAGCTGAGCCAGATCCTTAGCAGGAGATTTAGACACTAAGCCGCCAGATAAGATCCAGGCTGCTGAATTTTATTCTCATCTTCACAGAGTCAGCAGTCTTTTAGAAAAAGTTCTGTAGAAGATTCCTTTTTTAGCCCTGGTTACAGCAAAATGACACAAGTTATTTTGAAGTTTTACATTTTTAAAGTGAGTCTGTAAGGTTAGGTGAAAATTGAATGGTTCAAAGTAACAAAGACTTTCCCCAAATTTTTTTAAGTCTTTTCAGTGCATGTAACATGTAGAATGGACCCAAATCTGTCTGTGTGCAGGAGTGAGCTGCAGTTTACTTGAACAGCCTTTCAAAAGCTGCAGGTTGGGGCCACACAGCTGTGCCTTTCTCATGAACGCATCTAACCTTTTCAATATTCTAATCGCCAGGATAAAAGTCTCTTTGAGCTGAATATCAGCTTATCTATTATGCTGAACCAAAATATGCACCTTTAATATAGTTCATTATGTGTATAGCAGCTCCAGTTATGTGGTTTCTAAACTGGATAATCTGTACCAAAACTATTAACACTGTATGAGGATGTTAAACAGAAATATGTGTGTCTGTGCATACATATATGCACATAGTATAGGTCTGTCATTTCATATTAAACTTCTCAGGTGAGATGGATATTGCTAAAATAATCACAAAATGTATACGCAAATATCAAGTCACGTGCTAGTCTCAGATATTGCCGTAGGCAATAGATAAACCACAGTACAGTGCTTGTGAAACGTTGTGAACCGCATACATAATCACAGTGCAGATTTTGCAAAGAAAAATTTGTGAGAATTCTCTTTTACTTTGCTGAATAGACTAAACTAGAATTACCAGACACCTTGGCCAAGATATGGCAGTAAATCTGGTGAGGTAATTGTGTTTAACACTATATTAACTACTATATTGAATGAATTAAGATAATGCAGGTAAGATAGCAGCCTTAATATTTGCCTTCTGTGATTCTGTAAAACTGTGGCCATAAACAAGGGTTCAAATTATTACTGTGACTTCCAAGGTAGTGCACAGAGTACTGATGTAGCTCCAAAAGGTGATCTGTGCCCTGAGGTTCTTCTAGATGAAAGAGAAGAGTGAGAACAGGCTGCCCAATGCAGTAGGATAAAGCAGTGAGCTCTGAGGTAATGGCTGAACGAAACATACTTTTTCTGACTTGTAGTGTGCTTCGTTTATTAAACTGAATTGTCGCTCTTATAAAGGCCCTCATTCAGTAAAGCTCTTGGGAGTAGTCTTGTCTTTGAAGTCAGTGGAACGTGAGCATTTGTGTGCTGAGGTGTCAAGAGCGTCTCAGATACTGACCTGATGGGTTTGGAGTTCCTCTAACAGTTTTCGCTTGTGCAGCTGCCGTCTGGACATTTTTGACCATTGTAGGACTGAAGACTCCACAACAGCCACTTTTAACTTCTACATGTGAATATACTTCATAAATGGCTTGTACTGCTGCTTTGGGCTGGCATAGCAATCCAGTGTGTGTTCCTGATGTATGTCCCACTGGAAAACCCTTCTGGCTTTATTAGAGGGTTCACTTTCTTCTCTCTGCAAGA